GGCAGATGGACAGGTAGGATGTTTAGGAAGTTGAACCTGCCCTGTGATGCACGCTGGTACACGAGGGCACACGCTGTCGCAGACGAGCCGTGCATAGGGAGCGTGTGTGTTTGTGATGTGCCGTAGAGTCTCCGCGGGTTTCAAATGAGCGCACAGGCTGCACTGAGACGCAAGTTTATTGCCAACAGCAGCGGCCGTAATGAAATATGATCACACTTGTTGAGTGTCAGACCTTGAGTGAGGGACAAGACCGAGTCCAAACGTGATCGAGTCTGAGACGAGTACTAAGACACGGCGATCTACCCACACGACCTTGGCAATCGACTGGTAGATCGGGATTGACTTATTACGCACCCCTGCTATAAAACATCAACCATTATCCATTTATACGTGCACAGAGTTAGGCTTTAAAATTGTACATGTACAATGGTAAAAGGCATTTAATTAATCAAATTGTATTTATTCAGCACAATAAGTCTAATTCAGAAATCCCTTGGCGAGCTACTTGTAAGGGGGTGGAGAGCTACTGGTAGTTCCCGAGCTACAGGTTGGAGACACCTGATCTGAGCTATATTTGGTACTTTGGATTAAAGGCTTGAAATCAATCAAACTCAGTCAAACTTTATTTATTGACAGAGCACTTTTCATACAAAAAATGCAACACAAAGCACAAAATGACTTGACGCTCAAAGCAGACGACTTGGACTTGACTGGGACTTACGGACCAGTGACTCGAGACTCGACTTGGACTTGCCTGTATTTGACTTGGGATTTGACTCGGACTTGAGGTCAAAGATTTGAAACTTACTTGAGACTTGCAAAACAAAGACTTGGTCCCACCTCTGCTGTGACATTAAGTACCAATATCTGATATTACAGGCGCATCGTGTAACTTTTCTGGTGGCGGGTTCGTCAGATGCTTTTCTCCATGGAGATGTTATTGCTTTATGGAATATTGAAATGCTTCACAGTATGGCATTAAATCTTTCTATCTTCTTGGAGAAACCAGCCCAAGTTACAGGTCAGATCTGTGGAGAGGCGACCCCGCTCACAGTCAGAATGCCTGTTTTTCGAGGTATTTTAGAGCTATAAAACCACTTTTAATTGAATATATGTAAAGTAGAGCTGTTTAATGTCATACTGTGGAACATTTCAGGCAGAGCAATGACATCTCCATAGAAACAAGCAGGTGACAGACCCCAACCGAATAGTGTCCTGGGTTTATAGGTCAATCAGAATACTGACTGCACCGATTATCATGGAACTGATACTCGATACTGCAAATTATCTGGTGATCGGCATCGATATTCAGTACCAATATCATATAAGCGTATCCCTAGTTTTATTGTCAGATAACCAGGAATTGCATTGTTAGCATGGTAATTGTTGTTAGCTTTAGAATCTTCACAAAACCGGTCTCAAAAGTTGTGAAAAGCACTTTTAAACTCATTGCTGTGAATAATTAGGATGCTCTGAACGCATAAGGTAAGTGGGGAATAAGTTTGGACCGCTGCAAACTGCTTAAAAAGAATTAGTTTTGTTTTTCATGTTTTTAAGACAGTCATAATCTGGTACAGTGACTTTTAATAATTATTTGGACTTAGAAGACCAAAGAAGATTAACAAAAAACAAAAACTTTTTCAAATTGCAGATATGTTTTTGTAAATGAACTCTTTGATTTCCTTAACACCCTCCTTCTACATGTTATTTTTATATTTATGTTTTCTGCCAATTTGTTTTCACCTTGTAACTAGTATGACTCTTAATTTCATGTAACTTTACTGGTGGGAGGCATGTTACTTTGTATTAAATGTGTCATGATGTGGCCACAGACTGTATATATAAGTGGACATAGCAAACCTGATAACCGCGGTGTTCCAAATGGAAAGTGTTCATATGTGAGCTTCCGACTTCATTGATTTTGATTCTGGCTCCAATTGACTTTACATCGGAAAGTTATCACCCTCCCTCTGTCACTACTGGAGTAAGCCTCATCATTTTGGTCTTAATTTTTTATTAACCCACTCTACATGATCCTGGTGTTTTTATTTGGCTATTTTGTCCATAAATAAATTAGCTCCATTTGATTGGAACCGAACGCTATGGGTGTAGATTAGGGTTGGGCGGTATCCAAGTTATGACACCATTAAACCTTCTCAGCTTTTCACTTTGGTATATGGTATTACTAGAGATGGGCATTCGATGAAATTTTCTTAATTGATCGTTGGGAGAATTAACGATCGATTATCGATTAATCATTAATGTTTTTATATTCAAATGATCATCATTATTATTACTATCTGCACTACTAATCTGCATAAATAAATTCAACTTTACGACATATAAACCATGACGACTCTAGAGCCACATCAATCCGTTTGACATTATAATGTGTTTAATTCAGTTTTGCGCAACTCTCACAGAAACTAAACTTAAAACTGCTAATTTGCATAAACTAAGCAAAGATAAAAATACAGCTCTTGTGCGCTGATGCGACACGACTCAGTGGAATACAGGTTAGTGTGACCATATTTGCTTTTGTCAAAACCAGGACACTGTACGGGGGGAGGGAGGTGGGGATTCATCATCGACATTGAGCGACTCTCACCTGGCAAAGCTTTTTCCCACTGGACACTGAAACATATGTGCTGCTTTGTACAATGTGCACATGGACTCACACTGTCCCGACCAGAACAGAAAGTGTGGAATTTCTTGTACAAGTCTTTGTTAAATACGCATTTGTGCTTCGGTACGTTGCAGACTGACCCACTGTTTGTGTTTGCTCGCTCCTTCTGAGTGCAGAGAGCTACATGTACAGACCCCTGTTTGGTCACGCTACACGCACAGCAACCTACATTCGCTTTGTCGATTAAAATTAACGTAATCGATGAAATTCTTAATGATCAATTATCGATTAATTGACTAATTATGCCCATAGGTATTAACAAAATGTTTCAGTACGACTTTGGTAAGCTACGAAGCCGCACTGCTATATGGTCTGTGCGTATGACCTGCAGATTTATAATCTCTGAAAAGTTTCACATGAACCATCTTCAACACGATAGAAGCACAGAACAGCCAAAATGCTGCCAAATTGGGACCAACTCATTTGCTGTCGAACTTGCCATTTTGTCTTGGTCTCCCTTATGAACGTCATGTGACAACAGAACGAAATTAATCAAATATCATCTCCCCACACTGTTAAAAGAAACATTATAGACACTACTATTTCTATCGTGAAAGCTTTAAACTGAAAATACAAGCACACATTAATTTGTGCTGAGAAAACAAATTTAGGTATCAATAAATTATAGTATTATATTAGGTCCTCATGTGCTGCAGTTTTTTTTTTTAAATGACGGTAATGAAACTGATACCGTTGGATACTGTAATACCATATTACCGCCCAACCCTAGTGTAGAGGCTAATTTGCTTTGTGCAATCAGTCACTACTGGTTGAAGGTGTACAGAAGTTTTAAGGGTGTGTTCCAACGTACCAAAAGAGTCCGCGATTAGTAGTTAAAATTTATTTATTTGGCTCACCTTTGCCACAAGAAAACAGAGGAACATCTATAGACACGGTCGGAAATTATACACCTCTGCACTTTCCAACACCCGGTGCCAATTTCCTGCCTTCTTTATATTTTGAGTTTCCACTACAAACATCGGTTCCACGGTGTCCCATAGGGGCTGGATGTGCACAAATGAAAGGTAGTGAAAATTGCTTCTACAATGGCCGATGTCACACTCTCTTAGCCCACTTCTTTATACAGTCTATGGTCTGGCATTAAATTCAACTATATTGTTTTATTGGTCACAAACACTTTGAACAGCATGAATTCTAACTGAGAACAGGGTCACCTCTTCACACGTAGAGCTTTTAACTCGTTGCACCGCTTACTTGTCAACATGGAGACAAAAACACCATACTGTGGAACATTCCAAGCACAGTAATACCGTATTTTCCGGGCTATTAGATGCGCTCTTAAGTCTCTAACCCCATCAAAAAACGACCGCACGTCCCACAATCCGGAGCGCCCTATACACGAATCCACTCGGGTGTCCCAGTACGACTTCAGTAAACTACAAAGCCGCACCACCCGCAGCGCACGCAAACACGCACGGAGCAGACAGCGACCGCACAGCGAAAAACACCCGCAGCCACACTCATCACTCCACGCCGACGAGGAACGGAACGGAGGAATGAACCGAAAAAACGAGTGCAATGTGCCACATTTAGCCACAACTGAACAACTGAGTCACTGCGAACATGCCAACAATCCAGCAGCACCCTCCCTACACGCCACAACTGAACAAAGCCCAGAGTCACCGTGAATGCGCCAAACAAAGTCCCGCTGACACATCTAACTGTTGTGTTTCTTGTAATTTGCCTTATAGTCCGGTGTGGTTTATATGTGAAAAAAGTTTGAAAATAGATAGATAGAATAAATTATAATCCAGAGCGCCCTATAGTGTGAAAAATACGGTAATCACAAACTGCTCATATTCCACTGCCCAGACACCTACAGCTTTCGAAAAGGTTAGATTTTGTGGTCATTTGTGTTGTATTTTCAGATCATAAACTTTTTCGCAGCTGAAAATCCTTCAGTCCCTCTTAAAAATAACATCCGTCGTGATTGTTTTCTTCGGCTCAGCTCATTATTACCTTAGCATACACAACTCCAGGTATGTTTTTGAGGAGGTAACAACATTTGAAAATAGTTTAAAGCTCACAAGATTGAACAAAGCCGAGAGTCACCGTGAACATGCCAAACAAAGTCCCACTGACCCATCTAAATCCGGTGCAGTTTATTTGTGAAAAAAGTTCGAAAAGAGACCATTTAATGACAGTGCGTTTTATAATCCAGAGCGCCTAATAGTGCGGAAAATACAGTAATATCGGGGACAAACGGTTGCATACTCTTCACCAGAAAGATTACATACTGCACCTTTAATATACATGAAACACTGCTTTGACGTCTTTGTTTTTTTTTCTCCAGCTCAGATCCAGTACGAGCCCCCACTCCCGAGCCAGAGAGCCTTCCTCACCCAGAGCATGCCCGTGGGTCACTTGATTAAGTTCATCATCACCTACCCCACGGTGAGTAACAGACTAATCCATCATAAAGCACGTGCTACAGTCTTTCTGCTACAGTGAACACCGGTATTGAACATGAATGAAGTTGTGTTACAGCTCCAGTGATCTCTTACGACATATTTTTGTAATTGTATTGGGCTTCATTCACTTGTGGCTTTTCCCATGATTGTGACATCACAGGTAGAAATCTAGGGTAAGTCCATAATTTTGAATTTATTTGAATATATTTGTTTGGAGAATAAGCCCCTTGAGATGTGTCGCCACCTCGTTTTCAAGGGGGTCCTAGTTACAACAATAAAAGACAGATACACTAGGGCAGACAATACAATAAGATACATACTTTCAAATAAACATCAGAACAACAAAATCAACACAACCACACACACACTTGACTGTTAGACACATAATAAATCAAATTTGAACAAAAACTAAGACAGAGTTCAAAGATAACCACAAAATACAACAAGATGAACAAAAAAATTCAATAAAATGATCAAAAACAATGACGTGTTCTGTAAATATTGAACCAGAGCATTTTTAAATAAAGGGACAGAAGATAATGTGCAAATCGTTGAGGGAAGATTGTTCCAATCAGAAGGAGCTTTATATTTAAATGAGTGTTTTCCTATTTGATTTTTGACTCTTGGGACAACAAAAAATATCTGATCTGCATGACGTAAACTGTAAGAGGATCTGAATGGAATTCTGTTTGAGATGTTCAGGATAACTGAGATGATTGCATTTAAAGATAAATAATAGGCTACATTCAGACTGCAGGGCTTAATGCTCAATTCCGTTTTTTTTGTGAAATCCGATGTTTTTGCGAGGTCGTTCACATTTCCAATTAAATGCGACTTGTATGTGATCTCCAGTGTGAACAGTAAACGGCCCGAAAGTGTCCAGTGCACGTGCACTGGAGGACACGATGACGTCAACCGCAGCGAGTGTGCTCTGTGTTTACGGAAGTTGTCCAAACATGGACGCGAGCATTGAGCACCTGGAGATTTTGAAGTTCCTCTCGTACCGGAGCCAGAACATGAACAACTTACTTGTTTTAAGGAGGAGATTGAGAAGGAGAAGGACGAGGTTTTTGGTCGTGGTGTTTTGTGGGGCAGCGGCAGCAACGTCCGTTGAAAGAAACGTGTGGATGCGGAGACGTATCCAAGAGTGGTGAGTGGTGATGTGCTTTGCTTCAGTGACACGGAGCTCATTAACAATTTTCGCCTACTTCAGCACAGAATAGTGATGTTTGTGGCTTGTTGATAACGTGTAGGTCAGACGAATGCGCTTTGACCGTTCAGACTGAAGTCACATGTCAAAAGATCAGATATGTATCGGTTTCAGGAGCACATATCCAAGTGGCCTGGGTTGCATTTGAAAAAATTGGATCTGTGTGGTTCAGACTGTCATTAAAAGATCAGATACAGGTCACATAGGGGCCAAAAAATCGGATTTGGGTCACTTCAGGCTGCAGTCTGAACGTAGCCATAACCAGTGAAGTAGACGTCGGAAGGACAGAGTGAGCAGGACAGTTGGTGATACATCGTACAGTGGTGAGTTCTGACGGGACAGTGGAGAATGAATATGCATAGACTGTTATAGATAATATTGAGTGGTACTTGGTAGTACTGGTAGTTGTAGTATTTTGATAAATGATATCACAGTAACCTAAAATGGGAAGAATTAGTTGTGAGATAATTTTTTTCCTGACAGAAAAGCTAAAACAATTGATAAACTGATGAAGTAATTTTAAGCAGTATGAAATTTAGTTTGTAATAGTTTGTATATGGGCGGGAGGTTAAGCCATAAACCAAGATACTTAAATTCATCAACTGCTATAATTGGTAATGAATCAGTAAATGTCAGATTTACATCATTAACAGAAAAAGAACAGATTTGTTTCTGAAAAAGCATGAAGTGTAATTTAAATCATAAATCATCGGCAGATTCATTTTGAGCATTTCTGAGGGAAAATTGTTTCATTCGAACTGCAAGCTTACATTTGCATTCTAGCAGTTGTTTTTGCAAAATGGTAATTCCCTTTGCTGTTACGTTTAGATGAAGAGATGTCTGACTTTTGTTCAGTTCAGTTTATTTCATTACAAAATGATCAACATCGTCAAAACAATAACATTTTTTTCTGTACAGTAGTTACTGAACTAAACTGATCCAAGTTTATAAAGTTGGATAAAGTTATCTCACCTCTGTCACCGATGTAACAGACACATCGTCAGAACAAGAATGTCGAGGCAGAAAAACTTTCGCAGGATGGGGGAGAGTTCTTTGTTTATTTGTGTGGTAACAACAGCAGCTCCCGAGAGAGAGATACAGAGACAAAGAGAGAAAGAGAGAGAGGCAGAAAGACAGAAAAAAGCTGTGTGTGAGAGTGTGTGTGTGAAAGTGAGAGAAAGAAAGAACGAAAAAAGAAAGAGTGTAACCAAAACAGTAAAAAGCATCATTATGCACATGTGCGCACTGACACTTCTTTCTGCTCCATTTCATTCATACAACATTTTGGAGTTTTCTGTAGTTCATTTCAAACCCAAACATGACGTACAGGCTTTCCTCCAATCAGGAACTTTCAAACTGGGCTTGTGAAGTGGAAGCAAAATAAATGAACATTCTTGAGAAATTTGGTGCATTTTCTTGAAGGTTACTTAATTAATCAAACGTTCTATATCTGCAGAGGTGGGCACTTGCAAGTCACGACCTGGCCTCGAGTCAGATTTGAATCTGCCTCCTGGTCTCTGCAGATGTTATTGCATTGGAAAGAATGTTCCTCAGTATGGCATTAAAGAGGGGGTATTAAACAAACTAGACTTTTTGGTGCTTATATAATTTTATATCGTTGTTTTCTCATCAAAAACATGCCTGAGAGGTTAGTTGTCATCCATGCATCCATGTCATCTAAAGCATGATACAAAATAATACACTACAACTTCACAAACCTTATACAATGCGTAGTTTCTTAGTGGAATGCAAGCCCATTGTAGTGTGATATGGCTACCAGGGGACTGAAAATTATTAAACATATTAATTCAGTGACTAAAAGCTGAATGCAATTTTTTTTTTAATATCGATATTTGTTCAAATGAGTATCTAGTAGAGTTGGGAGGTATTCAAATTTTGATACCGTTAAACCTCAGGATTTTAACGGGGTATATGGTATTACTGTATTACCAAAATATTTTAGTATGACTTTAGTAAGCTATGAAGCCGCACCACTGAACCAACCCAAAACATGCTGCAGGTCTCCATAAACAGTTGATAGTCAAGGTCAGTTAAAAAAATACAATCAATTCAATCATTGTGTCCTTAGGCAAGACACTTCACCCACATTGCCTAGTATGAAAGTGGTGTGTGCGTGAGTGATGGTGGTGGTCGGAGGGACCGATGGCGCCGAGTAGCATGGCAGCAGCGCTTCTGTCAGTGTGCCCCAGGGCAGCTGTGGCTACAATAGTAGCTTACCATCACCAGGTATAGAGTGAATGAATGAATGCTGAATAATTGCTCTGTAAAGCCTCTTTGGGGACAGAAATGTCTGTGAAAAGCGCTATATAAATAAAGACTTACTTACACTGTGCGGTCTATGTGTATGACCTGCAGATTTATAATCTCTGAAAGGTTTCACATGAACCATCTCCAGCACGATGAACACACAGCACAGACTCACCGTCAGCAGCACATCCTCTGTCACAGAAAGAACACTCATATTCCACTGAGTCGTGTCCTTTAGTCCGACAGAAGCTGAACCGCATCAGAGCACAAGGAAAGAACTGTTTTTATCAGTGCTTTATAGTTATGACAATGGAATGAAACTAATCAAATGTCCTCTCCCCACGCAGTTAAAAGAAACATTATAGATGCTATTAGTTTTAAATTGTGATAGCATTAAATTGAAAATACAACCACACGTTCATTTGAGCTGAGCAAACAAATTTAGGTATCAATAAATTATAATATTATACTAGGTCCTTATGCGCTGCAGATTTTTTAAATGACGGTAATGAAACTGATTCCATTGCTACATTTTGATACCACTGGATACTGTGATACCGAATTATTGCCCAACCCTAGTATCTAGTTTCGATACTAGAAAATGATTTTCGATACTTTTGACAACCTATTGCAATGTACACTATGTTAGCCTAATAAATCCTTTCATTAGGGACTTGCTGAATTCTTTAAATTTCACAATCACGTTTTATACATACTTTCACTGGTGGAATAAACAAAGTAAAGAAGTAAAGTACTGTACTTAAGTATACATTTTATGTACCTATGCTTTACTTTTTTTTTAAACTGGGTACTTCACTACATCTGAGAGCAGGTATCTGTGCTTTCTACTCTACTACATTATTTTTGAACAAGATTGAAAAGTAAAATACATGAGTATTTATTTGAACTGGTATCTGTACTTTTAGTTAAGTAACACAATTGAGTACTTCTTCCATCACTGGATACTTTTCACTTCTGTGTTCTTTTCACCCCGTAAGAAATTCAGGGAAAATTAAATCACAAGATGACTCACCATTAGGAGTGAAGACCTCTCGAAAATGTCTGCTCCTCCATTTACACACGTTATACACACATTTTACACACATTATAGGCAGTTCCTTTTACTGCGTGCATTGCAAGTAATACAAAGTGTACTGCACACTCATTCAGCCTGAGTGATTAAAGCAATGATTTGAAATACATTATTGATCGAGTGTCCTTTTAGTGAAACACAGGGACACTTTGGAATACTCAGTCGTACTCTGGAGAAGATGAGGGGTATGTGGGCTGTAGAAAATGTATGTCGAAAATGTTCTGTGTTTATTCATTTAAAGGTGCACTGAGCAACTTTTCAGATGGAGAGTCCGTCATCTGCTTGAGAAAAACTTCAACATCAACATGGAATTAAGCTGGTGGCAGATCCTTTAACTCTTTCCCCCATGAAGACGACATTTGACGACCCCCCCTGAACCCTTAATGACGACTTTTGACACCTCCGCGTATCA